TCTTCTTGTTCCTGTTGGGTCGCTTTCTAGAACCATTTTCACTGGGTCGTCGTGCGGCATTCTTACGACGTGCCCAGCCCACCGTAGTCGCCCAATTTTTGCGATGTAGACGATGGATGGTTCTCCCAGCAGCTGGTGCAATTCGTCGTTCATTCGCCTCCTCCACGTTCCGTCATCCATCTGCACTCCACTGTAGATGGTACGCAACACCTTCAGTTCGAAAACACCAAAAGCGATGTTGGTCCTCCACGAGCATAGTCCAGGTCTCGTGGTCGTAAAGGACCACCGGTCTAATCAGCGTCTTGTAGACAGTCAACTTCGTGCGGCGGCGAATTTTATTCGACCGGAGCGTCCTCCGGAGTCCAAAGTAGGCACGATTCCCTGCCATAATGCGTCTTTGAATTTCTCTGCTGGTATCATTTTGGGCGGTCACCAGTGAGCCCAAATACACGAACTCATCGACCACCTCGACCACACCGTCAATCTGAACTCGGGGTGGGAGGCTAACATTGTCTTCCCTAGAACCTCTTGCTTTCATATATTTTGTCTTTGATGCGTTGATGGCAAGTCCAATCCGTCTAGCTTCAGCCTTCAGTCTGATGTACGTTTCCGCCATCATCTCAAAGTTCCGTGCCATAATGTCAATGTCATCGGCGAAACCAAGGAGCTGGATGGACTTCCTGAATATCGTGCCACTCGTGTCTATCCCAGCTCTTCTGATCACACCTTCTAACGCGATGTTGAACAGCAGACACGAAAGTCCATCACCCTGCCGTAACCCCCTTCGAGATTCAAAGGGACTCGAGAGTGTCCCCGATACTCGAACAACGCACGTCACTCGATCCATCGTCGCCTTGACCAATCGCGTCAGTTTATCCGGAAATCCGTACTCGTGCATAATCTGCCATAGCTGATCTCGATCGATTGTGTCGTATGCGGATTTGAAATCGATGAACAAATGATGTGTGGGCACGTTGTATTCGCGGCATTTCTGCAGAACCTGCCGAATCGCGAAAATTTGGTCCGTGGTAGCGCGGGCACCCATGAATCCCGCCTGGTATTGCCCCACGAACTCTCTTGCATATGGTAACAGACGGCGGCATAGAATTTGGGAGAGTACCTTGTAGGCGGCGCTCAGCAGTGTGATCGCGCGGTAGTTGCAGCAATCCAACTTGTCGCCCTTTTTGTAGATTGGGCATACGACACCTTCCATCCACTCCTCCGGTAATATCTCCTCCTCCCAAATCTTGGCAATTACCCAGTGCAGCGCTCTAGCCAGTGCTTCACCACCGTATTTCAATAGCTCACTTGGTAGTTGATCTACACCAGTTGCTTTGTTGTTCTTCAGCCGACCGATCTCCTCCTCAACTTCTTGAAGATCAGGGGCCGGTAGCCTGTCGTCTTCTGCGCGTGCTCCAAGGTCTGTTGCCGTGCCACCTTCGTTTTCTGCTGCTTCACCGTTGAGGTGCTCGTCATAGTACTGCTTCCACCTCTCAATCACCTCACACTCGTTCGTGAGAAGGTTACCGTGCAAGTCCTTGCACATATCGGCTTGCGGCACGTAGCCTTTGCGCGAACTATTTAGCTTCTCGTAGAACTTCCGTGTGTCGTTTACGCGGTACAGATTTTCCATCGCCTCGCGATCTCGATCTTCCTGCTGACGCTTCTTCCTTCGGAAAACCGAGTTTTGTCTGTTCCGCGCTTGTCTGTATCGCTCCACATTCAATCTCGTGCGGTGTTGCAGCATTCTCGCCCGTGCTGCATTCTTCTCCTCTACTAACAGTTTGCATTCGCCGTCAAACCAGTCATTTCTTCGGTCCGGGATTGCAGTACCTAGTGCCGCTACAGCAGTACTACCTATGGCTGAACGGATGTCCCTCCAGCCATCTTCAAGAGAAGCTGCGCCAAGCTGCTCTTCCGTGGGTAGTGCAACTTCCAGCTGCTGCGCGTAGTCCTGGGCAACTCCGGTGTCCCGTAGTTGCTCAATGTTGGGTCGTGGCGTTCGACTTCGACGTGTGTTATGCACCGTCGAGAGTTTTGAGCGCATGCATACTGCAACTAGGTAGTGGTCCGAATCTATGTTCGCACTGCGGTACGTGCGGACGTTGATAATGTCGGAGAAGAATTTCCCGTCGATTAGAACGTGATCGATTTGGTTTTCTGTGTGTTGGTCAGGTGATCTCCAGGTGGCTTTGTGGATATCCTTGCGGGGGAAAAAGGTACTTCGAACTACCATACCCCGGGAGGCTGCAAAGTTCACGCATCGTTGGCCGTTGTCGTTCGATACGGCATGCAGGCTGTTTGGCCCGATTGCCGGTCTATACATTGCCTCCCGTCCTACCTGAGCGTTCATGTCGCCGATGACGATTTTGACGTCCCGTTGCGAACAGCCGTCGTACACCTGCTCCAGCTGCGCATAGAACGCTTCTTTCTCGTCGTCGGGTCTCCCTTCGTGTGGGCAGTGCACGTTGATGATGCTGTAGTTGAAGAAACGGCCCTTAATCCTCAACTTGCACATCCTCGCGTTGATCGGCTGCCAACCAGTCACGCGTTGGCGCATCTTATCCAGCACTACAAAGCCGGTTCCCAGCTCGTTGGTGGTGCCACAGCTCTGGTAGAAAGTAGCCGCTCGATGCCCGCTTTTCCATACCTTTTGTCCCGTCCAGCAAAGTTCCTGCAGTGCTACGACTTCGAAGTTGCGTGGTTGAAGTTCGTCATAGATTAACCTATCGCAACCCGGGAAGCCGAGCGATTTGCAGTTCCATGTTCCGAGTTTCCAATCGTAGTCCTTATTTCGTCGCGTAGGTCTGTGCCGATTGTTCCGATCCGTATTTCTTTCTTCGGTATTTGCAACTTTGTTTTTTTCCAGGGCGGCTTGTTGGGCCTGCCCCAACCCCCTGTCTCGCCGGGGGACCATCGTGCACAGCTCTGTTTAGAGTCCCACGCTGGCACTAGGACGGTGATCAGCCGCTCCTAACATGGAGAACAGACGCCGTTTTGAGCCGCACCTCCATGGTGAGCAGACGCTCAGGTTTGGTGAAGCATTTCCTCTATCACCGTACTATGGTTACCGCGCCAGTGTTCGCGTCGCACCTCTTCACTTTGCTATTGCCGGACTGGCAACATTGCCCAGGCTACGCCAACCAGCTGTGTCCATGTTTCAGCTGGTAGTCTATCTTACTGATACCGGTGGTATATTGAAAACTCTTTCGCTCGAAAGCAAAACATATTACAAGCACATCATGATGCGAGCTTGGATGTGTAATTGTTTTCTCAAGTGTTTCTGTTGAATATAAAGTGGTAATGATTGAAAATCGGAACAATTACAAACAAGTAAGAATCTTGCTATCGCAATATAATGATGATGACTTCGAGGATGTTATCGTCCTCTTTCCTTGGCTGATCATCAACGTCCGCATTTACATCTATCATGCTGACACCTTTCAGTTATTGAGCCCAGGTGGTGAAGTTGGCGGGGAACTCCCAACAGTTTCAATGTGCACTCAACAGATAGCACTGCGATCACATGCGGGTGGTAATTATATGGCTTGTATGAGGAATTGATTAGTGGGATATCTTGTTAATTAGATATCTTTGCTGCCATATTGGATTCCTGAATGGCGTCAGACATCAATTTTTAGCATCTACACGTCGTCCTCGTTCCGAAAATACCCATATTATAGGGTGTTTGACGCTTCTTATGAAACCGGAAGCCACCATCTTGGATTTCAAAATGGCGTCAGATATCAATTTCCGGTCTCTGTACATCTTTCCGATACCAAAAATACCTATATTGAAGTGAATTTGACAGTATTCCTCACTTTTTATGAAACCGGGAGCCGCCATTTAAGATTTAATAATGGCGTCGGACATCAATTTTCGGCCTATAGACATCACCCCGATTCCAAAAATACTCATATTGGTGGGTATTTGACAGTATTTCTAATTTTTTTTGAGAAATCGGAAGCCGCCATGTTGGATTTCAGAATGGCGTCAGATATCAATTTCCGGACTCTGGACATCACCCGCATTCCATTCCAAAAATTCCCATATTGATAATAAAGTAATCGGAGTAAACCGCATAAATTCCGAAATCCACGTAAAAAACCGCGTACACTCCGAAATTCGCGTAAAAAACCGCGTAAAAAGCGTCTCCAGTGTATTGTCGGTTCTCAGCTCTGCGAAAAGCAGCTTGAGTGATGCGTCGCTTAATTTCGATCCCTGATGATAGGTATACAAAATTGATCATCAACAAATTCCTATAAGAGGTAAGAAATTCAATTTTCATCTGAACCATTCTGAAAGGCTCAACCTTTATAGATTGGAGATCAATTTCAAATTGAATTCAATTCTGACCTTATCCCTTAAGAGAAAAAAAAGTAAACATGGCAACCATTTTAACCATGCAGATACATAATTCATATTTCAAGCCACTCATATCTGGTTCCAGCTTCCACGATAATATGCTCCAGCCCAGGCGTAAACCTACTCCATTTTCACCGTACAGCCCGGTTATTCCTTCGAAAAACCCCTTGGGCCCTCGTAGCAGAATCATCAATTTCCACTGAACTCTCTTATGTCTAATAAAAGGTAGTGCTCTTTGCTGTGTGAATCATATCTCCATATATCCTTCCAGAAAGTGAACCGAAGCATAATTTTTTAACACCCACCGCCTGCTGGAACAGATGCCGAAAGGGGTCGTCTTCCGGACCTTTTTGAGTGGGGGAAAAGTGGTTCATAAAAGTACACCTAGAAATGGGATAAGCTTCGAAAAAGGAAAAGGGGTTTGGGGTTGTAAAAAGCAATAAGCTGCGATATAAGCTGGTCGAAAAAAAATTCTGTTAACAGATTATTGGTAGGTTTAAAATTTTATTCAAGCTGGATTAGATTTTAGCGCGTGGCTAAGCAGAAGCTCTTTGGTTGGATTAAATGTTTTTTTTTAGATTAGACTCGACATCTCTCTCTTGCTGCCGCATTTGCGCTAAACATAATAGTAGTACCTGTAAGTTTCGTCCCACGGCCGGAAGTTCTTGTGATCGTACGCTCCATGCGATCCACGGTAGCGATCTTCGTAGCCGCCAGCGGCAGCAGCACCACCGTATCCACCGGACGTTCCCTGGTAGCGATCTGGAATATCATTTAAGTTTACGTGCGGATTAGCGCGAATCGAAGCGTGGTGAATTGATCAATTATTGTATGCATAGGAGCATGTTACTTACCACGATTGTAGCCCCCAGTACCGCCACGAGCTGCCATCATGTACTGCTCGTATAGTGGGTCGAGATTATCGTAGCCATTACCGCGGTATCCATAGCCACCCCCCGTTCGCATGCCCATGTCCGCCCCAGCTGGATAGTAACCCATCCGTTGATCACCGGTGGCTCCGCCACGATTGTCATAGTAGCCACGCGTCGACATCGGATAGTATCGGTCATCGTAACGGTTCACGGTGCTCATTTGGTTCATGTAGCGATCATCATAGCTGAAATGGTGTAATTTGATTGCTCTCAATTAGATTAACTAGTACTCGCAGAAAAAGCTATGCCCCAACATCCTGCTAAATTGGTCATGAAATTAGATCCATCGATAATTCCCTTATTGATCAATTACCGAACTTACCCCATCATCATATTCATGTAGCTCGGCCTTCCGTAGTATCCCTCACGTCCCCGGTTGTAAGCCCCACCATCGTATGACTCCGGCCGATAGTACCAGTTCCTATCGTCATGGATTGACCCCTGACCGCCGTAGTATCCATAGATTCCACTCGGTCGTCCTCCGTAGGTTCTCATATCCCGCTCACCATAGGCTCCTCCACCACCGCAACTAACACACCGTTCCTCCCGTCCATTCCGCCCGTACTCGTCCCGGGTGCTGCGATACAGACTGCCCAACGTCGGAGTGACCAGCTTCGATGACGAGGCCGAACCGAGAACGGTACTTTCGCTGTTACCACCGCCGCCACCGCCACTGCCACCGATATTGGATAAACTGGCACACGAGACCCGGTGCAGCAGAGCCAACGATACGACCAGCGCGCAGGTGACTAGCTGTGAATCGGAATAGAATAATGGAAAAATAACATTAAATAAAAGGTGTAATCGAGAGGTGGTGTAGGGTGGGGGGGTGGTGTGGGTCGGTATGAGAGTCAATGTGGTTGAAAAGATTAATTCTGATGGGCATGGCAGGAAAACAGGCTGAAAAGGTTGCTGGAGGGAAATGTAGTTCAATGGATTCAATGTAACTCGATTTTGTTTAACTGTAAAACGATTTAGTCGATAACGAAGGGTTCGTTCTGTGGTGGTTCTACAACGTTGATTTTCCTTCATTGAATTGATGTTCGGTCTTTTTCAAATCGCAGCAGCAGAGAGTAAATGTTGATAAATATTTAAATTTGGCCCTTAAATGGGCTAAATGGCCCATTGAACATTATGAATGGATGACTCACATCTTCTTCTTCTTCTTCTTCTTTTTCTCTGTTCGGGACCCAACACCACTGCGACTAGTAATTTGATCTATTGTAGTATACCGTTTTGGAATGTGTTATGTTGCTGTTTAAACTTAGATCGGTAGAAAATAACACAGTAAATTTTTTTTTTGATATCACATCAAAGTGGATGCACTTCAATCGTGTCGAAAATATGGTTACTTGCGAAAATGGGTAAAATTATCATTTTCGACATGATTGAAGTACATCCTCTTGGATGTAATATTAAAATTTATTTTTTGCTGTGTATTGTCTTTTGCAGAATTAATGATAATATCGAGGTTTTAAAGGGTGATACGGTCAAAATTTGGTCAATATCAACTTGACGTATTTCTTTCAATTTTGCATTTAAAAAACCTGAACACCCCTCATTTTGAAGGTTTGTGTGTGTAGAATGTTGCACCTATTTTGATTTTGGAATTCACTCTTGAGTTGTCAAAATGCCGTCCAAGCAAGAAGAGCAGCGTATCAAAATTTTGCTCGCGCATCGCGAAAATCCGAGCTACTCGCACGCAAAGTTGGCAAAATCGCTAAAAGTTGCCAAATCAACCGTTACAAATGTAATTAAAGTGTTTGGGGAACGTTTGTCGACAGCCAGGAAGTCTGGATCGGGGGGAAATCGAAAACCGGAAGCCGCTGAGACGACAAAGAGAGTTGCCGGTAGTTTCAAGCGAAACCCTAACCTCTCTCTCCGAGATGCCGCAAATAAGCTGGGTGTATCGTCTACAACCGTGCATCGAGCCAAAAAACGAGCCGGACTATCGACTTACAAGAAGGTAGTGACTCCAAATCGCGATGATAAACAAAATACGACGGCCAAAGTGCGATCCCGGAGGCTGTACACGACGATGCTGACGAAGTTTGACTGCGTGGTAATGGACGACGAAACCTACGTCAAAGCCGACTACAAGCAGCTTCCGGGACAGGAGTTTTATACGGCAAAAGGAAGGGGAAAGGTAGCAGATGTTTTCAAGCACATGAAACTGTCAAAGTTCGCAAAGAAATATCTGGTTTGGCAAGCCATCTGTACCTGTGGCTTGAAAAGCAGCATTTTTATAGCTTCCGGGACTGTCAACCAAGAAATTTACGTGAAAGAGTGTTTGAATAAACGTCTGCTGCCTTTCCTGAAGAAACACGGATTTGGCATCTAGCCATTACGGTAAAAAGGCCATGGAGTGGTACGCCGCCAACAACGTGCAGGTGGTTCCCAAGGACAAGAACCCTCCCAACACGCCAGAGCTCCGCCCAATTGAGAAATACTGGGCTATTGTCAAGCGGAACCTAAAGAAGACCAAAAAACTGCTAAGGGCGAGCAGCAGTTCAAGGCAAACTGGCTTTCTGCGGCGAAGAAGGTGGACAAGGTGGCTGTACAAAATCTGATGGCAGGGGTCAAGCGTAAGGCCCGGCAATTCGGATTTGGAAAAGCGGAAGCCTAACTGAATATTTTTCCTGAATTTTATACTAATTGAACTTGAAAAAGAAATTTAATTTGATTTTTTAAATAAACGATTCACCGATTTACACGCGTTTTCCCTTGACCAAATTTTGACCGTATCACCCTTTAGGCTCTGCAATCGATAATATTCAAAATATTCAAACCCCAATGAGCCTCGTCATACGACCGAACATTTTTTCTGTGGGTTCATCATCACAACTAAAGAAGCTGTTGCGACAGGAATGAAAGGCAACGCACTGATTTTCGCAGCTATATTGACGTATGCTTCAAAACTGTAATAATTGTTTTAATTTAGTGAACGGTTAATTTTAGTAATTCAACGCAAACTTACATTTCAGTGGCCCTATAGAATTAATCCTTTCTATTCACCGTCCACTTCTAGGTTACGTTTTGGTCCTAAGTAGGTTTAAGATTAATTTAACGTTCAGGGTCTAATTTTAAGATTTCACTAAGCGTTCTTACCTTCACTAGTTTTAAGTATGTAAAGGAAAGTAAATTTAGGCACTTAGGCAAACAACTCATTTGCAGAACAACTGATTTTTAGTAAACTATTGAAATAAACTACACCTTGTCTATCTGTATTGTTTATCTGTTTACTATTCTACATTTATTTTCTCGTTCTCAACGTTGCCATCAGCTTGTCAGTCAACCGGTGGAACCGGTTGAGGATAGGGTGACCAACTCGACGGTACCAGTGTTCACGTTCTCCCCCCGTCTGCTGGGACAGCACCACGATCATCTACGTCGAGCACAGCAAGTCTTGATGTTGGTCGCCTGAAGGTTCCCTGTCGTGTCTGCACAGCTGCTTGGCGAACTCTGCCATCGGCTCCTTGGAAGATCTGGATCGCCTTGCCTCGAACCCACTCATTACGCTTACCGTCGTCCACGACCAGTACAAGGTCTCCGATCTGCAAGGGTTTGGTTTCGCTGAACCACTTCGGTTGTCTTCTGATGACTGGTAGATACTCCACCAGAAACCGTTGCCAGAATTTGTCCAGCTGTCGTTGAATTCCTCCCCAGGTTTCCCGCAGGTTCTTCTGGGATTCTCCAACGTCGACACCACCCTGCTTTGCTCCGCTCGAGTTTCCCAGAAGGAAGTGAGCTTCAGACTCCTTCAAGTCCAAGGGTAAATATGTCAGAGGCCTTGAGTTAACAATGCTTTCTGCTTCTACAACCAGCGTTAACAACTCCTCATCGTGCAACTTTCCCTCTGTGTATGCATCCTTCATAGCCGCTTTGACAGACTGTACCAACCTTTCCCAAGCACCCCCCATATGTGGTGCTCCAGGAGGAATGAAACTCCACTTCGTACTTGTGTTGGTGAACGTCACCGACAGCTCCTTGCCTATTTGTTCTCGAAGAATGCGTTCCGCTCCTTGATAGTTCGTTCCATTGTCACTGAAGATTCCGATCGGCGATCCTCGGCGCCCAATGAATCGTCGTACACAGGATATGCAGGAAGCCGTTGACAAACTGTACGCTACCTCGAGGTGTACGGCTCGTACAGTGAGATACGTAAAGAGAGCGAACCATCTCTTCACGTTTGATCTTCCCACTTTTGTTAGAAGAGGACCAAAATAATCCAGACCCACGTAGCTAAACGGACGAACGTGCATCGCAAGACGAGCTGGAGGAAGTGCAGCCATCGATGGATTTCTAGGAAGAGCCTTGCGGATCTTGCACAGCTGGCAGGTATACGCGACCTTCTTCACAAGCTGACGTAAGTTGGGGATGTTATAGCGCTGACGAAGTTCGTTAACGACGGTTTCGCTATTCGCATGCCGGTAACGGCGATGATAATCTTGTATTAGAAGGTTCACCGCCCGGTGCTTTGAGGGCATAATAATCGGAAACCGGGCATCGTAGGTCACATCCGTCGCGGCTACTATACGGCTCCGTTGTCGCATCAAACCGACGTCGTCTACTTCAGGCATCAACTTGAACAGCTTGCTTTTCCGTTCAAGGGGCACCTGGTTGTCGTTCGGTTCGGATTTATTCCGTTCGAGAGTGGCCGTTTCATCGGGATAACTCTCCCGCTGTACGAATTTCAAAATCGTGTGCTCAGCGCCGAGTAGCTCAGCTTGTGTAAGCGGTCCAAGGAACTTCTGCTCCGGTTTGGCGGTGTTATAGAAGAAACGTAAGACGTATGCTGTGGTGCGTAGCATCCTCTTCCACGACGAAAATCGTTCGAAGTCCAGTACTGGTTCAACTACGATATGGAACAACACGGACGGTCTGACATCTTCGGAAGTAGATTCAGTTGACTCGGCCGCCTTTGGCCAGGTTTCTTCTGGAAGTCGCAAGAATTCTGGCCCGTCAAACCATTGGCTATTCTGGTCGAAGTAAGGTCCTCGGCCCCACTTGGTTGCCTCATCTGCTGGGTTAAGCTTGGACGGAACCCATCTCCACTCGCTTACATCTGTACTCTCCAGTATCTCTCCTACTCGATGAGCTACGAAGGGCTTGTAGCGTCGTGGGTCCGACCGGATCCATGATCGCGCTGTCGTAGAGTCCGTCCAGAGGAACCTTTTAGAGAAAGTGATTGGATGATTGTCTTCTACGAATTTTAGTAGACGTGTACCGAGAACGCATCCTTGCAGCTCCAACCTAGGAATGGACATCGGTTTGAGCGGTGCCACCTTGGTTTTGCCGGAAACCAGAACACAAGCAGGTGCTCCATCTCCTACGGTCGTTCGAATGTAAGCTGCACACGAGTAAGCAATCTCACTGGCGTCGACGAATACGTGAAGTTGAGCATCCTTGTACGTTTCTGTGATGGCTCTGGGAAAATAACACCTCGGTATCTTCACGGTTGAAATGAACTCGATCATCCTTGTCCAGCGATTCCAGTGCTCAAACACTTCATCGCCTACCGCTTCATCCCAGTCTGTTCCAGCCCGCCACAAATCCTGGGTTAACACCTTCCCGTGAATTATGAACGGGGCGAGTAATCCCAGCGGGTCAAACAGTGACATTACGCATCGTAATACTTGACGTTTGGTCGGCCGAGCGCCGCTGTCGACGAGGTTCCTAACTTCATCACTCATACGGGTGGAGAAACTCAATTCGTCCGATCTTGATGACCACAGCATGCCAAGTACTCGATC